GGATGGGAGGAAGGGAGAAATTAAAGCTGCTTAACTGGAAGGTACAGGGAGCACAAGAGCCTCTTTCGTACAGTGACTGTCTAATGGTTTAAACTAAACTTCACGAGAAACTCTTGAAACCTGGTGGTTTCTTTGCTGTGCATAACAAAGGATGTTTGGTTTTTTATGCGTAATGTAACCTTTTAATTCACGTGGTACGTATGTAACAAAGAAATGGTTTTGTCCGTCTTCATGGGAATACTGCTGTAGTTACGAAGCGTATAACTGCAATAAATAGCAAAGTAGCATGTAGGCACTGTAACATTGAGAAGCTGTTGGTGAGGCAGAACAAGATGGGGTGCATTGCTCTAGTCTCCCAACGCAATTTCAGAGGGTACAGTACTCTGAAACCTGTACAGAGGGGACTTCTTCCTCTGAGCGTGTGTGAACGGGGAGGAAACAAAAACTGGTTGAGTAGTGGGTAGCATGCACAGAGGCGCACTGGTATAGTGGTGCTAAGTGTATAATGGAGTTTGGCATCTGAAAATTCAATAAAGCTGGTCTCTGACTCTTAAGCTGCAATTTTACTGTTTTAGGTCACCAGAGGGGTGGAGAATGGTGTGATTGAACTCAGAAGTAAAACCAAAACTCACCTTCCTGGCAAAAGGGCTGCTTTGGAAGAAATAGGGAATAAAGTTACAACAAGAGGAACACGTATAGCTAAGGTAAGGGAACACTTAAAATCTGCCTATAAGGAAAAGAGGAATTACTAGCTCTGTACTAATGGTAACTGTCTTCACTACAGAAAACAGAATGCTCCAAAGCAGCCATAAAACCTACGAAAGGACCTGGTAAAATGACAAACGTAACTGTACCGCCTAAACCTCCCGCTGCCGCGAATCAGGCATTCAAAGAAACTGATGTTCCAAAGGTAGGAAGTAATGACGCTGTTCTGACTCTTCATTGGATTTGCAACTTAGAGCTCTGACTTCAGAATAGTTTACCTGTAGGTGTATCTCATTTCTCTGCTGAAAAAGCAAAGCCTCCCTACTGAGGTTGTGGTTTCATGCATGTTGTGCTTAAAGGCTAATGTTAAGGTGGCAGAACTGGCTGTTGAAGTACTGGTTGAAGTTTCTGCTTTAGCCGACGATTACTGGAAGGTCTGCTGATTCTGGTGTCTGGCTTCTGAGTGAAAGCTTGCCACACTTGAGAGCAAGCTCAGTTTTGCTTTTTATCTTAAGAAATTGTATTAGTACCTGAAAAAATGCGGAAATAAAGGAACACTGCAGCTTAAACAGTAGCTATGTAAGCGCTATGATCTGTTCTTAGGTTCTGTCTCCTGTCCCGATGGATGTATCCATGCAAGAGGAGGATTTGTGCCAAGCCTTCTCCGATGTGTTGCTCAACAGCGTAGAAGACATCGATGCTGAGGATTGGGGGAATCCCCAGCTGTGCAGTGACTACGTGAAAGATATCTACCTGTATCTGAGAGAGCTTGAGGTATGGCGTGCTGGGGCTGTGCTGCTGGGGGGGGGTTAGGGGTGTTGCTCACGCAGCTCTCTCCCCGACAGCTGCAGCAGGCCGTCCGCCCGCACTACCTCGACGGGAAGACGATCAACGGGCGCATGCGGGCGATTTTAGTCGACTGGCTTGTCCAGGTCCACTCCAGATTCCAGCTTTTGCAGGAAACACTGTATATGTGTGTGGCCATTATGGATCGCTTCTTGCAAGTAAGTAGGATCTCTTTCAACTCAGGTTTGGGTTGGAGACTTGTTTAATGACTGTGCTTTTAAAGGAGTTTAGGATTTATCCTTCCTTTGTAACTCTGAAATCTGCTCTTTGTGTAAGAGCTCTGTATAATGTAGCATCTGAACTCAGAGGCTGTGGTCCATTTTGAGCCTGTTGTTGAAGGGACACTTCCCGCTCAAAGTGGGAAATCTCTTTGACGTTACAAGAACGAGCACTGTCACACTGGTATTTTAAACTGATAAATTAGAATCTGTTTATCTGGAGTTTGACATTTTGGGGCCTGCTTTTGAAATTCCTATATTGCAGAGTCATCCAGTACCTCGTAAGAGGCTTCAGCTGGTGGGTGTGACAGCACTGCTTCTAGCTTCAAAATACGAAGAGATGTACTCTCCTGATGTGGCAGACTTTGTTTACATTACTGACAATGCCTACACCAGTTATGAAATTAGAGAAATGGAGATGATGATCCTTAAAGAGTTAAACTTTGACTTGGGGCGACCTCTTCCAATTCATTTCCTAAGAAGAGCATCAAAAGCTGGGGAGGTGGGTACTTGTCCTCCTTGTCCAGAACTTTCCTATCTGTGCAAAGTCTTACCGGGATTGCCTCCTGCGTTTTTATGGTGTGATCTTACTTGCTTTCTGCTTACACGCTGGATCCAGAAATGCTCAGCTATGAAACTCCACCTTGTGGAGGAACGCAACAACGTCACTGTGGCAGCCAGTAGTGGTTCACGCCAGTACGTACTGGGGCCTGCGTTCAGTCTCAGTGGCAGTAATTTTACTGTTAAACGGAACGCCTAGAGCAGAGCCCTTGCTTTTGGCGTGATCTTTTGTCTGGTGATCAGGGTGTTCCCTAGTAAAAGGCGAGCAGGGTTGCAGTTCTTGGTAATATTTCGATGCAAATACTGTATTATTTAGGAGTCAAAGGGTCTCTGACCTGACCCCTTTTTTTCCATCTCCGTGAATTCACCTACCTCAGCAGACCACTGGGTAACTGGAAGTTAGCTGACCGCTTTAGTAAGGATCTCCTGAATAACCTTATACTCCTTTTTTTTTTTTCCATTTCCCCTTAGTGTATTACAGAGGGAGCACTTGTATCTGTAGTTGGGCACAGCAGTGCCTGATACTGCAGTTTTGTGTTAAAATCCCTCACTTTGTGTCCAAATTCCAAATGGCTGCTAGACCAGACTGGTTTGGACTCTGGTCTCAATTTTGAGATGAGTGTCTGTTAGAGAGTATGGTCCATAGACCTTAATAAAGATTTTGGTTGACTCTTTTTGTTTTGTCAGTTAACGAATACAATAAACAATCCTGAATTACTGTTGTAAGGTGAAGTGGAACTTTGTGGATTAACGAGCTCTCATTCTGGCAGGCTGATGCGAAGCAACACACGCTAGCCAAGTACCTGATGGAGCTGACACTGATAGACTATGACATGGTTCACCATCGTCCTTCAGAGATTGCAGCTGCTGCGTTATGCTTGTCCCAAAAGATTCTGGGACATAACGAATGGGTGAGTATTTTAATCAGACTCATTGCTAGGAGGTTTTTTCCTTCAGTTGATTGACTTGGACCATTAAAACAACTATTTCAGGAAATTCTGTTTAGGTCAGTAATAATGCTGGTGATGAAATGGCAGTTGGACAGCCTGATGCATAGTTACAGGTAGAAAAAGGAGTATACTGCTGGAAAGCTGCTGTGTTTTTCCATGTGAACACTGGTATGAAAGGCTTTTTCTCTTGAAAGTACCGAGTTAGGGAAGGCCAGGCTGTAAATAACAGTAGATCTTCCTAATTCCCATGGTCCATGTAGAATAATGAAATCATGGACCGTGAATAGCGACTCGTACTTCAGCTAGTGGTAACTCCTGCAAGGGTTGCTGCTCTTATCCTCTGCGGCCTAGCAGCGTGGTGCCTGGCACTAATGTGCCCAGGCTTCTGCGGCACACCAGAAGTTATTCTGGATCTGCTGCCTCACCTGACTGTGCTGGAGTTCCCACTACTGAAGGCTAGGGCGGGAAGCTCAGGGCACTGCTGCCTGAGGTGATTGTGCCTGGAGCAGCAATCCCCCCTTCTTCACTCTCCGATTCTTGCCATTACGCTGCAGGGCACAAAGCAGCAGTACTACACGGGCTACACAGAAGACAGCCTTGCAATGACTATGAAACATATGGCCAAGAATGTGGTTAAAGTAAATGAGAAGTTAGCAAAATACACTGTAAGTATAACTACTGAAATCTTCTTCTTAATGTTTTAGAAATACCTTTGGTGTGCGTGTTGTGGCTCCTTAGGTGAACGTTCTGTCCGTTACCTTAGAGCCTGTGCTGTTCTGCCAAGCCTGTGAGAGGACGTTGCGTTAGTACTCACTTCAGAACGCTTTAGTCAAACTGCTCTTGCTGCTTTGCAAGCGGCTTCACTTCTAACCTTGTCCCTTTGTTTGCTTGTTTTCCAAGCAGTCGGGCTAGCTGACACTGGATTACCTGCCCAAACGTAAATACTGTATGTGTAAATCTGCTGTACTGCTCCCTTGCCTCTGCAGGCTATAAAGAACAAGTATGCGAGCAGCAAACTCCTGATGATCAGCACAGCCCCTCAGCTGAGCAGCGAGACAATCAAGGACCTGGCTTCCCCACTCTTGTGACACCCCCGGCAGCCAAGTCCTGATGGTATGTGCACTTTGTCCTTACCTGCCTGTTGAGGCAAAACCACTGCTCTTCGGACGTGGCGTGGCAGCCTTGCCGCGGGCGTTTCGGACTCGCTCGGAAGGGGACATTTTAACCTTGCTTTGTAATACAACTCTACCTAGAAATAAAGCTCCTCTCTTTTTAAAAAAAAACAAGGCGACTGAATCTTTCAAGGCGCTACCCAGACATACCTGCAGTCTCATGTCCAAGCAGGACATTTGACTAAATAGATGATTGAGGTCACTTGATGATTATGGATGTGGATGATGATTCTTGTGAGAATCGCCAGGCTTTATAGTGGGTTATGTTTAGTAACTTGTGGTAGCCACTCGTCAGAAAAGCAGGCAGACAGTTCATCTTTTCCTTAAAGGGATGTACTTATTTCAGTGCCTTGTCCCAAAGAAGCATATAGGAATTCCTTTTTTTGTCATTTGTTGCCTTCATGTTTGGGGAAAGGAGTCGGCTGGCTGTAACAGACACTAGCCTTGTACATCTTCGAGTGAACATAAGACAGCGTACCTAAACAAAGGGAGCTAAGGTAGGGAAATTCTGCGTCTGCTGTGGCTGCTCACCATGGTGTGCAGGGGCTGTAGGTGTGGAACTGAAGACCTTTTGAATCAGCTCAGCTCTTAAAACCTCCTCTGCTGCTTGGACAAAAACCCCAAGCTTTTCATTGCCTGTTTGCACACCCACCCCCCACCTTCCCCACCCAATGAACCTCTGTATGTGGGAGAAAGTCAAAGCCACCATAAATCGATTCTTCTTTATCACTTAACGTTGTTTTTTCCTTTGTTGTTTCTAACAAACAGCAGTGTCTGTATGCTCAAGGAATACAAGCATGGAAGTAGCACACCTTTTCTGCCTCAATTTCAGGCGGTTTATTAACTTAGCCCTATATAAGCAAGGTTAAGTTACAGACCCTTAGGTATCCTCTTAACTTCTACTGAGCTCATGACCTCCCTTTCCCAATGTCTCCTCCATGAGCATGCTGGCCTCGCTGCAGGAGGCAAGACCCACCACTACAGAAGTGGCCTAGACCTCAGTGTTCCCCCTGGGGGAAGGACCGGTGGCTTCACCCTCTCCCTCCTCAGGCAGGAGCCTTGTCTCTCCCCTGGGTCAGGAAGCCTGGCGCTTCATACAAAGCATCCCTTGAAGAGTGTGCTGGAGCACTTGTGCTGTCCCGTTCCCCCGGGACCAAGGCCCTTGTTTCTGGCCTCCAGAGACGGCTTCTACAGCCATTTCTGGATGGAGTCTGTGCCTCAGTTAGACTGGGGCAGTGGCGCAGACGGCGGGGGATCCAAGCCTTCTAGCTGTACCTTAACGCTCCTGCAACTGCTTAATCTATCAAGACAGGCAGGTTGGGTTTTATAACTCCTAACAAGTAGTGAGATGGTTTCACGTGGAGCAGAGGAAGGGGCTTTTTTCTTCAGAAATCAGTGCAGTAAAACCCAACGGACGTCGTTGCGAAGGGCTCCGTTTGTACACGTGACCGAAAAGGCAGGGCACAGGGCACAGCGCGGCTCGGCCAACTGCTGCTTGGGGGTTATTTGATGGAGGGTCAGCAGACAAAGCCCGAGGGCTGGGAACGGGCAAGCACCGGCCGCTCGGGCGGGGGGAGGCAGTCAGACTTAGGCCACTGCAAGGGAGTAGTGCATATCTGTGAGTACCTGGCATACTCTAGGAGAGCTGTGTCGTGAATAAGGACAGTGGAATTCTACATCATACATTCATATATGTTTCTGTCGTATTCAGTTTTTATATACAGTATATGATCTGTTTCTATAAATGTACAGCTCTGCATAAAGACACTTTTTATAACAGGTAGAGCATTAAACAAATCTAACATGGGCCAGCCATATTACAATATAAATCTTGAAGGCAACATTGTTCAGCATACGTTACTAGAGCCTGTTGGAGTCCCTAAACACGTCAGCAAACGCAAACAGTCCTGTGACACCTCTGTACACATCACAGCAGGTGTTCAGATGGTGGTGTCCCAAACGAGCCTCAATCCCTTCGACAGGTAGCAGCACACTCAACACGTTCCCCGGAAGGGTCTGCATTTAACGTTATCTTCAGTAGATCATTCAGAAGGTTACCGACACTCAGCTGAAGGCACTTACTAAATACACCCCGCTCCGAGTCCCTGGTCCCAGACTGCAGAGCACCTTTTCTGTTTCAGGAAGACAGCAGGGTTTAGCATTCTTCACTTACTAGGTGTTAAAACCAGGTTTTAAATACAATAAATAATTGGTCGGTGTGTCTATTGCTGTATGCTCTTGAGACAAAAGCTTGAAGTCTGTGCTGTGGGTAACTTTCTTCCTGCTTGTGTACAACTTTACTGGTGGGAATACTGCTGAGAACAGTAGTCCTCAGTGTCCTGAAGGCAAGAACGGTGTCCTGAAGGCAAGGGAAAACATCTTCAACCACTGGTCACTTCAGTCTGACAGTCTTTTATATCTTGGTGACGTAATTGTTGGGAAACAGCCCTTGTTTCCCTCGTAGTCTTCCTGTCCACCAGCCGGAAGGATCTATGACAAAGAAAGCGAAGTGAGTACTGAGGTTCTGTAAAACTTTTTGAGGCAGCTTTGCAAAGCTGTTCCCCATAGTGAGAACCTTCTTCTGAAGGACTGGAGAAGAAATGATTTGGGGAAGCTGAGCTTGCTGATCTGCTGGGCACATCACTGTGCCTTCTGTGTCTTAGGAGGTTGCTTTGGTGACCTGAAGAGCTGGACCTGCTTTATTACTCCTTGGTACTTGTGCTGTAGCTGTGGGGTTTAGGGTAATTTTCAGCCGGGGCCTGCACAGAAGTGCTCTCGGACTAAAGTGGCAGCGCTGCAGTACCAGGTAACACGTACGTCCCTGATCTGTCCCTGACGTGCCTTTAAGTGAACATGTTTGATTGGTGGGTGGGGGGGTGGAGACTTCTCTGCTCCTTGAGCTATCAGAACTTTGCAGGCCTAAGGAGGGAGGATAACTGGGGTGGCTCAAAGTCATGCCTTTTACCTACCCCTGGCAGCGTGCCTGTGGGCTTTGAGTACTTGGTAACAAACCCTTTTAGCTCTACCTACCTTCCTTAATTATATCAATGACGTCGTTGGCGTTAAAGCTGAGTTCGTCCGTGTCCTGAGCGTCATACGCGTACAGCGCCCTGCACTGCGGGACCTGAGGCTTCGGTTTGGGCTGCGGTTTGGGCCTCCCTCCGGCTGGGGGGGGGCGGTTTGTTGTCTGCCTGCGAACACTTAACGGGAGAAAAAAATGTTAACGTGCTTCCAAGCTTATGCCTTGAACCTAAGCTTCATCAGCCCCGCTGCCCTAATGACTCGATTCTAAAGGGTACCACAGAACAAAGGGAAAAGAGGGGGGTCTCTTAAATGTCACAGCAATTAAAACAGCAATGTAAGACTTCCCCGCGCCAGGGACAGAGTTCTGCTGAAATGGATGAACAGGCACTGCCAAACCAGTTCACGCACAGAGGACATTTTAGTGCTCAGGCTGGAATGTAGACAAATGTGCACATGCAGTTCATGCATATCTTGGCATCTACACAGCTTGCCCTATCTCTCCCTGTGCCCCAACTTCACCAGAGATTTAGTTGCCAGTATGAAAAACAAAGTTCTAGCTCACAGGCTTGCTACTTTACCATTCTTGTGACTAAGCTGTAAGAGAGGCTGCATCTCTTTTAAGTTGCCTCAGACTCCAGGGCCGTCTATGGACTTGTTCTGTTCTAGTCAACTCTGAAGCAGCAGGGGAGGTGCTGCACAGACTGTCACAGCTGTGACCACTCCAAAGATTAGGAAGGGGAAAGAGGGAAGAAATGCATTTTGCCAGCTCATCAGCTAATAAAGGCTGGAAGAGAGAACAGAGGTATTAGATGCAATATGTCAGTTTAAAATAAATAATAAATAAATGCGCTGAATGACTAAAAACGTTGCGGTGGTGTGGAGGAGACTGAACTGAGCATGTCATGTAATGCCATGAGAACATTACCCAGCTCGTGCAGGGAAGAGTTATACTTACTCATATGAAGGCCTAGACTTAATTCTTGTCACTATTATCTCTGTCTGGTTCTCAGTTTGTGTAGTGAACTGCACCAGAAAACGAGCTTTGAAGTACGGGTTAACAGCACTTCAGTTCTCAAGTTACCTACTAGGGGAGAGGAGTTTCTCCCGTTGTTCAGCATGTAGTGAGGTTGCTTGGCCTATGCCTGTGTTGTGACACCTAGACCCAGGCATGGAAACCAAAGGATTTGGAGCAAGTCTTGGAAAAGTTGCTCAGGTTGTCTGCAACCACAGCAGAACAAGAACACCTTCAAGGAGCTCGTTTGCTAAGGTGTAGTGGGATGTTAGTGACAGCTGTAAAGCAAAGCTGTGATCGTAGCAGTGCATCCTTCTCAGCAGCTTTGCTAAAAAATTAACCTAATTCTAACCCTTAAAAAACTTTATCTATAACGGCTGTGAAACACTAACTTAACTATTTAATTAAACTCACAGCTCTTCCAGTTCACTCCTTGGGTACAGGGACCACGAGAGCTTGCCGTTTTGAAAAGGAACAGTCGGGGCGAACTGAAGGCACCTGCTGCGCACAGCGACACGCGGCTTTCAGCGCACCACCCAGCAGCCCCTCACGCCCGGGCCGGCAGCGCCCAACCGTCACTGCCGTGCGCGGTCCC